CATCAGCACATCCAATACGATGTTCCTGAGGTTTACATCTAGCCGTAGGATCAGCCATCAGGGGTTCCAGTTCAACTACACAAGTAAGATCTTTGGTTACACTTCTCACATTTAAAAAAAATTAAGGTAAATGATATTATTTAGTATGCTGTTCAATAAAAACTGTATTTGTGGCGGATTATTTTGATTTTTTATTTTCAGTATATGATTAGTTTTGGGGGTCCAGAAGAAGCGATTTTTTTTTTTGCTACATAAAAATGTAGAAATTGTTTTTGGTCTGTCTGTGTGTCTGTGTGTGTGTGTGTGTGCGTTTCCACATAAATGTTGTCAGTGTTAACTTAAGAACACCTTCATGTATTGTGATGATGTTTGCTATATGCTGGTAGGTCTTAGACCAAGCTTAAGATTACATTTGGGCCTCCTTCTAACTGGCCTTGGTATTGCAGCAGAACTTCATTTATTTGCATATTTTGCCCTGAACCTGTTATGGTATTAATATTTTGGTGGCCGATAGTTTTCATGTCAAGAACAATTGGTGTGGGTTTGGTCTCCCTATCAGCTTGTTCTGGAACTACAGGGGTGAAATCTTTTAAAGCGGATAAATCAAGAAAGCAACGGCGACAGAGCTTTTTTGAGCTTGGTGGGACCGGGGGGGGGGGTGCTCTTTCAGCCCCCCCCTCAGAACTCGCGAACGGTATATCGTAGGACCACTAAATTTTCAGATGGTGTACTAGTTAAAATTTATCATACGTACAATTTTTAGGTCGTTGTGACGTAATATGACGTCATTATGACGTCATTAATGTGATTTTATTGGCCAAAACCGTCTAGATAGGTTATTCCCTGAAAACTAAACGGTATACGACATAACTTTACCAAAAGTGTTTATGACAGAATATTAGGGTGTACTAAAGTCTTATGTTGCCCATAGCAACACCGGTGACGTCATAAAATGACGTCATGTATATATTACCTATCCGCCATCTTGGATCATCAATCTTGAATTTTTTCAGTTTTTTTTTTAGTATAAAGCCTAAAATACATTGTAAATAGACTAAAGACGTTCATATGAACCTTTTTTGTAAAAAGAAATGGGAGCATTGATGAAATTTTAAGGAAAATAAGCTGTATTTACCTGATCTAATGATGTGGTCCGCCATCTTGGATTTTGGCCAATGACGTCGTCAAATTAGCATAAATTATGCATTTTTTTTAAAGATAAAATTTACATATAATTATATGAGATGTTATTAATATTAGAAAACATGTGTAACTTGACATAAAATCCACAAAATTCTGTTGTTAAAGCGGAAATTATTAAATTTAGTAAAAAATGCCTGTCAGAAACCCGTTGCCATGGCAACAAGAAAAATCATAATCTTATTCCACTGATACAGATTTATTGCCAACAATATTTTAGGAAAAGTCACCAAGTTTGGCGGTTTTAGCTCTAGCCGTTCAGACGCTATGTGACATCAAAGTTGGCGCGAGCACTTTTAGCCCCCCCCCCGGTCTAGATAGGGTTAAACAGAGATGTCAATCAAGTAAAGTCAATGCCTTTATTTTACTTTGGAAAGCTTGTTCAGCCTGTAATAAGTCCTTAGCCTTCCAAGTCCATGATCACAATGTGCAGAATGAAATGCAAACTATGTAAATGGGGCTTAATATGTATGATTGATAAGAAAACTTAAAAGTTGCATTGTTGCACACAATATTACCTCAAATGTACCAAGGACTAGCAGGCTGTGGAACTCCTTACCAGCCTCGGTCTTCCCTGACAGTCCCAATATGACTAAGTTCAAGACTGCTGTAAACAATTTCTTGTTGAACTCTTAGAGATTTTCCAATTTATGACAATTAATTATGTACCATGCAACTATGTATTATGTATAATGTATCTGATAATTTTGGGATCGAATGTGTCTGTGCACTTAAGCGAGGGGAATCAATGTGACATTATATTGAACCGAAAATCATCGATATACGATGTTAAGACCAGATTCACTTTGCACTGATTAGAAAAAAAAATAGCACACAATATAAGTATGCAATATATGTCATATATGGAGAGTGGAACATTAACAGATAACAATAATGCAAATATACACATAATTGGTATAATAGATGGGAAATGAAGGAAATCCATACATTTACATTGTTTTGTTTCAGGCAGTTCTGCAGGCCAATGCTGGGATCCTGGTGTACCGGCCAATGGGAACAGGGATAACAACAGTAACTTTACATCAGGACAGACAGTCAGGTACACCTGTATGGACGGGTATCAGCTGAGGGGGACTGCTAATATAACCTGCCAGCCGGACGGGACTTGGAATGGTGCTACACCAACTTGTGAAGGTACTAAATAAAGAATTAACGTATTTTTAATGTTTGCATATTACATACCAATAATTGTTGGGTGTATTGCTGATGATGTTATTTCTCATTCCACAGTAACCAGCGCCACCGGATGTGGAGGGAACCTGACAGCTTCTTCTGGAGGCCCTGTGACGTCACCCAACTATCCCGATAACTATGGTGACAATGAGAACTGCGAGTGGTCGATCACTGTACCAGAAGGAAGCATCATTCGCCTCACGTTTGACAGCTTCAACACTGAGTTCAGTCGGGACTATCTGACCATCTACGATGGAGCCAGTGATAATGCTCCAGAGTTGGAAGAGTAATTATTATCATTTATTTGTTTCAGGCTGAACTATTACAGACTATTACAGACTGTTCTTAGAATGAATGAATGAACTTTATTGCCCGACAGTTGTACATTGTACAATGTTGGCAACAATGACAATGTGAGCAATACGATAGGTCTATTCTAAGAAACTACTACTACTGCAAAGAAAACGTAAATGACGTATTGACATGATGTACGTTACGTTTTTTACAGGACGTTCTCTCCTCTGTAAGGCACTACATATATATTTAGGCCTATATAGTTGGCCTAAGTACGTAGATATGGAGTCGGGGTATAACTTCAGTACATTGAATTTTTTTTGTGTTGGTCTTTGGGAAAGGTTTTACAAGTCTTTACACGTGATCACTTATTCATTTTTCTATTGCCAGCTTATGCAAACCGATTCTTAATTTGCTAATGTTAACTGTTAATGTTAAATGTTAATGTTAAATGTAACTGACACCAAATGCACCAGTCATGTTAAAAACAAACACCTCACTGGCACTACAAGTTCAAGGCAGATCGAAACACACGATAAAGATTTAAGTTATATATTTTATGCTCCTTAAATCAAATCTACACGAAGTAATAAAGA